TTAAATCCTTTGCAACAAATTGAATTGATGCTGAAATTAAAGGTTTTTTTTTCTTTTTGTTAACTGTAAAGGCAAACTCGAATTGCATATGAATGTGACAGTTGCTAAATCCATTAGATCTTCCTTTGAAAGAATGAATAAAATCAAAAAACATTTAAATCCTTTCATGCAGAAAAGCTTTTGACACCTAATACATGTTGAGCATTACTAAGCAGAATCTAAAAGTGTTATTTCAGACACGACCGGAAGAAAGGATGACCGCGTGGATAATGTCTGAATTTTTTTGGTTTCAAATTTTGTATGAATGTGCATGAGGTTTATAAAAGAAGTAAAAATTCTATAATTTAATATGTCTTGTAACATAATAAACATTACACTTTTATTTAATTTTATAATATCCTCTGAAAATTTACAAATAATTCCATACATAAATTATAAATAAAATAACATTACTTAACTAATGGTAATTTTTCTTTACTCTTTGATATAAATTTTAATCCAACTTAATATTTTTGATAGAGTTGTTTAATGTCCTCCATTTTACCTGAACTCTAAAAGGGTTTTTTTTTTATATCCAACATAACATTCTTTGTACATAAATTGTTAGACATATTCTTTGTGATACATTAGATTTTTTAAATCAAGATATAAATTGTATTGAAGGATATAAACGAGTTTTTCATACTTGGCCTAATTCAGGAGATATTAACAATGATAAGAATAAACAGAAACAAAGTTCAAGAAAGTCATTTATAATCGTTAGACTACATTATTAGTGCTTCTGGATCAATAGAAGAGTTATACTTTCATTCTTATTTTTCTACGAAGACAGTTCTTTTTTCTTTCAATATTGATTCAACTTTACATTCGAAAATAAGTATTAAAAAATTCTTTGCATTTATTATCACAATGATTTATTAGTATAAATGGTTAATAAAATATGTATTACCATTGATTTAATGCATTCTAGAATATTTTATTAATAAATGAAGTATTTTATTTCCATTGATTTTATCGGATTATCATAATTTTTTGTATAAGATAGTGGAATTGAAAATTTTAAAATAGTTTTACTGTTATAATGGTGTAGGAATGAGATTCTCTGTGTCACTTAATGGAAGAAAAAAAATGTTGATATGTTTAATTATGTATCTGATAGCCAACTGTCACATGTACATAAGTAGATTTAATAATACTACTTAAAATGGGCTTGTGAAAATGGCAAATAAAATTGTAAAACCAAGGTCAATTATATAGCAACACAATGTGAGGTAAAGTATGTGTGCTTAGACCGTAAAGAATATATAAATTTCACACGCAGGAATGGAACTGGCGTGAGACGTAGTTTTTATTCCCCACTTTGACTTCTCTTTTGTGTGATGAGTGAGTGTAAGAAACTTTATGGACAAAGATACAAGTCAGTTGGTTGAAGTGATGCTTTGGCTGCACAAGTTCAAACACAGTTTGCATATCGTGACTTTCTTGAATTATAGTTTTATTTTAAATGCAACTCACGTAAGTGAAAAAGCAATGTTCTAGAGAAATGCTTGTGAATGAAAATGCCGCCTTATTGGTAATTAAACTTCTTTTTTTTGGACTTTTTTTATTTTGACAAAATTAGTGACAAGTGTTTAAGTTGCTCCGAAATATTTAAAAAAATTTCTAAGGTTTTTATCCTTGATTAAATTGAAACTTATTCATTTTTAATGATTGACAATATTTTTGAGTGCATCCAAATGTTAGTTTTTATTCATAAGCAATTAGTGGAGATTCAGAGGTAAAGTGAAGTAGTGGAAAATAATTGGAAGTCAACTAAAATACCTGATTTAAAAGGAAACAATAATTTCCAAGGAATATTTAGGAGAATAAAAAAATATTATTAAAAAAAATTAAAGTCTGATTAGCTATAATTTGGGTTGAAATGCCCTGTATCATCATTTTAAATAACTCATTTTTAGACCTAAACTATTTTTCCCTTTCAAAAATACTTTTTAATCCCTTAATTGCATCAATGCCTTCCAAAAAAATAATAAAAATCACAAAAATAAATTGGAAGATTTTTTAATGAGTTTCGTTGATGAAAAAAAATTTCTTTTTTATTTTTACATGTTTTTTTTTTTATTCTAAAGAATTTCATTTTACCTCTGCTTCTTTCTGGAAAAAAATTTTATTCACTTGAATTCGGATTATTTAAGGAATAACGTGAAAGTTAATCTAAATATAGACATCTAGAGTCTTAGATAGATACAAACATGATAGCAACTGTCGGATGAAGATGCTTAGAATTGCACAGATGCAACAGGTGCAGTATAACGACAACGCATCCATCGGCAATACATTTGAATAATTGGAACAAGCGGGTGACCGCGACCACTCTCTCGAACCAACGCGTCTCTCTTGTGGCTGATAGTTGCCAAACTAAACACCATTTTCTACTATCTGTTACTAATCTAATACACGAGAGATCTGAGCCAATTGAATGTATGGCATATTTCAATAAGAAGTTTTCACTATAATTGTAATCATTGATAAACTTGAACTCCCGATAGAGAAGAATCATTCAAGTCAATTGTATTTCTGATAGCTATATTTAAACATTTCTCAAGTATACTCATAAATATTCTCTCCATGTACTCTCGCATACCTAAACTTGGATACATCGTGACTTCGATCTTTCATAAATCAAAGTTATTTAATATTGTTCTCCATGACTTGTAAATAATTCTTTTGCCATATTGAATTACAAATTATTTGCAATTTATTTCAAAAAAAAAAAAATTGTTTTACATTAAATATAGTATTGAAGACAATTGCAATGACATCCAGTGAACTTTTTCATCGTTTTTTTTTTTTTAAATAACAAATAGCTATTAAAAAATATATTCAACCATTATTTTTCGTGCTTTTATGATTTATTTATTATAAACTAAAATTTAGTGAATAAATATAGTTCATTTATCAAAGTAATTGGTATGTTATTGATTAATTTTCGTGCTGTGAAAAATTTAAAAACTCTGGAAAATAAATGTAATAATTTTAATTATTAAAAAAAGTATATATTGAACTGAATTAAATGAATTGAATGAGAAAAAATGTAAAAAGGGAAATATTAGTGATATATAATTGTGGAAACCACGGAGAAATAGCAGAACAATACCCAAGTGTGTCATAAATTTGAGTACCAAAAATACTATTAACGGATTTGTTGGTAAACCAAATAATTTTTTACAATGTGTAACGTGCGCACAATGGCAGCGTAGAAAAAAAATAGGATAAAATAATAAAAAAATAATTGATGATACGCTGGTTTAGTATCACCCTTCGAATACCCTGTAGGTGAAAACTGTGCAAGCTTCGTTCAACCAGCATTAGCCATCGCATCGTTGCACAGTCTGCGGTCCGTTCAATTTAGTACCAACTCTCGTTCACTTTTTTCCTTTAAAGATTTATCGAAATCGCCGGTAGCCAGCAGGCTCAAGCTGCAACATCATCGGTGTATACACCTGTTTTATACTATTTTATACTAGTGTACGTAACATTCTTAACTTTAGCAATCGGAATACAAATAAAACTTGATATAAAATAGCTTTTGTTTACTCTGATGGAAATTTAAAAATTTTTAATTAAAAGAATTTTGAGATTGAAAATAAATTAAACTTTAATAGAGCTCGAATTTTATTGATGGAACTGGGGAATGTAGAATAAGTTCCTGATTGAATTGAATTTTTAGAATTTTTATCTGTCAAATATTTTTCTATTTGTGGAATTCATATATTTTACATTTTAATATAAAAACGACGGGAAATTAACAAAAACTATTTTTTGGGGGATATTCATTTTTAATTGATTACGCAGCTTTTATTGATTTTTAAAGCTGAAAAAATTTTTATAAAATTTCAATTATCTCACAATTTTAATTATTACGAATTATAAAAATTTTAATTGATACATGGATTTCAATTTGTGTCCGTTTATTGGTTAGTTAAAAATCATTTTGATATCTACCATGCTTGAAACATTATTTCCATTCATTCAAATTACTTGAAATAACTCAATAATAATATATTTATTGGCTTTCAAAATTTTAATTGAAATACTAAAAATATTTTTCCATGACTACCGTTAATATTTATATGAATGATGGAATAAATGAGAATAGTCTGACATAAAAACCTTCCACAACGTAAGTAGGTATTCATGCATAATAATTTCTAGGCTCACGTGCATTCATAAACCAATATTCATTAAAAATAAAATGAAGCTTTCTGGGTATGTAGGTGAGATTATCATTAGAGTTCATTAACAAAAAACAAACAAATAGAAATAAATAATTTAGTTGGTGGGAAAATATGTCGGTACTTATATGTAACTTAGCAGATAGTTTGCAGTTTAAAAAAAAAAGTATTTATTCCTCGAATATACATTACTCATTTATGAGCGGAAGCATGATTAACATGCCCTCTAAATATTTAATTTTTCTTACAAACGTGGCTATCTTTTTTTTTTGCCTTCTCCGTTCACGTCTCAAATCCATTGTTTCAATCTTCCATGGTTTTCTCATGGACGCAGGAGAATTGTGTGGGAAGATTCGCAGGAGTTTCAAGTTCAATCTTGCAACCGAGGTCGAATGTTTGCTCGGAGCGTCACTCATAATTCTTTCTTTCGATTCTTTGTCTTATCATTGCGATGGTCTAACCTAATTTATTATATTCTTATTATATTTTCGTCATAATAAAAAAAAAAGACGATTATTCATTAAATGCACTGCAATCAAGATCATAATTATTATGCAGTTATATTTATTTTTAAAATTATATTTTACTGTGGGAAAATTCCGCAAATAAATTCAGCACACACAAGCCAAAATCAAACAACAAATTATTCAATTATTTTCAGATTTAAAAAATAACTAGTTTATTAAAAGAAATGTAATCTATTAAAAAAAAAAAGATTGATATTTTTGATTATTTTTAATAATAAAAAATTAATTCTTGTTTCAGTCGAAAAAATTCAATAGTCTTGAGGACACAACTATCAGTCCGGGTGCACACAATAATAGGTAAGTTATTTATTATAAAATCAATATCAAATATCAAATCGAAATGAGTAATTAACGTTTTGGAGCAATCCTATATACATTGCGGATTATAACCAAATTTGATGAAGCGATGGACAAATAAGGAGTACATTTATTTGAACATTATATCTTCAATTATCCCAGTTCATTTAAATCGATATCTTTTCCCTGTTACCATTTCTCCTCGTTTATAATTTCACTACCACTATTATACTGCTTGTTCGATTCCTTGCTTGATACACAATTCACCAATACGACGAGATTGGTCGATTAAACAGCTGCGGCAAGAAGATCATTCGAGCATAACGGTACGTGTGTACAACGTAGATTGGTTCCCTTATTCGTTCAACACTCTGCTTGGATTTTTCAAGAATTATTGTCCCATTCAATCGAACAGTATATTTTTGCAATTCACGTATATATGTGTGTGTTTTTAAATTATTTTCAATCAAACACATTAATCCAACATTGTAGTAAAAAGTTCATGAGAATTTGTATTTAACTGGATTGAAAAAAAAAAAATAAAAAAATTCATAAATATTTATTTGCAATAAATAAATTGCTTGAAGCATGAATAAGCTTATTAACACTTTATGGATTTTATTGTAAATAAATAAAATTTATTAGCAGTAAAAAATTATTTTTTCACCATAAGTAAATTGTAATTTTTACATCTCACTTCATTAACTTTAATTTATTATCTAATGAAAAATTTTATTCACATTGAAAAAATAAAACATTATTCTTGAGTAACTGATTTCATAACGAAATAAATCAAGATAAAGATGTTAATTTTGACGTCATGGTATTTCCTTAATTTCCTACTAAAATATTCTACTTTAGTTCCAATGATAGTAGTACTTTTACTGATAAAAAAGAACTTTAATTATTACTCATTAATGTGTGAGAATTAAAAATGTTAATTATAATCAACTTTTATAGCCATTTTTATCAAAACAATAGAGACTTTAATTGTTTATTTAAAAAAAAAACACACACACACATTTCTTTGAAAGTTTTTTATCGTTAACTTTGTTGAAGAACATGACCTCCTTCTGTAGGATAAACCACAAACCTTAAAAATCGGATGTACAGTCAATTAATTTTCACCTTAAAGACATACTATAATCAAAACCACAACAAGGAAGTGGTAATGTATTTGTTACAATATCTAATTGCTCTCGTGCTTCTAACAGATTAACTTGCTAGATTTCTCAACATCTTCGTCACCCATATAATAATGGAAAATAAATACCAGTAATAAAATAACTCCAAGTAATGAAAGAATAAAAAAAAAATAAATAAATACCGTTAGTAGTCAATTAATAAGTCAGAAAAAATTCTCTGATTGATTAAAGGTTTTTTCATTTCAACTTATATATCTTTATTTGCAATTTAAATTTCCCTATGGATACGCTTGTGTATAAGCAGAACTGTGTTTAATTAATGTAAATATTCGCAATACGTATTATTCACACGTCAATAGAAATCGAATTATCACAGCTCATTCTCACAAATGTTGTCGGCATTTTAACATAATATATCGTACACGTTGACAATAGTAATCATGCTTCTTTCTCTAACTAGAATAAATAGAAAAAATTATTTATCGTCTCTTCATCTAATGAAGTGGATAGAATTCATGTTAAATAATTTTTCTTTCTCTAAAAGTGTTTTTCATCAAAATATTCCAAAAATGAGAGAAAATAAAACTATTTTAAAACTTTGAAAAAATGTTTTTAAAAATACTTTATTCAATGATGATTGATTTTTTTAATAGCAGAAGAATTTTTTATTTATTTTTAATTAAAAAAAAAAACTCCGAAAATCTTCATGTTTTATTTAAATGCAATAAAAGTGCATTAAACAAATGCACTTTAAATTATTAGAAAACTGACATCAATGTAAATCAAATGGATGACGTCCTATTAACAGTTTTAAAACAAATTTATTTTACATGATAGAAGGTTACATAATGTTACACTAACAACATCTTACACAAATAAAACGAAAACAAAGGTTACTCACATTTTTGTTGGCCAAGCCATGAAGCCAAAAGCTTTTAAGCTCGTAGCCTCTAATCCGTAGCCTTCAATACAAATAGCTAATCTCGAAGTTTTTGAACAATTTTTTTTCCAAATCCAAACTACTAGATTGTATTATTATTTTTTTTTAATTAGAAGCTTCATCATTTTAATGCATTTTATGCTTACTATAAAAAGAATCATACATAAAAAATAACATATCATACTAATGAACTTTACTGTTTATCCTTTTAATTAACAGAAAAAAGTTAAGTTGAAAAATATGTTTTCATCAATTATGATTGATGTGTATGAACGATGAAAATAACTAGTTGAAAAATATCAAACATTTCAATACATAAAAATTGACTGGATTCAATTAATATCGAGATAACTTTGACGCTAATTGCATCGCGCCACTGATTTTTTATGCAAATTGAATGAATTAAATATGACGTTGAACATCAACTGATTGTCATTTAAAAATAAGACTTTTATTTTATTTTATATTGAATAAAAATCGTTACGTTTTGATTATTATAAAAATTAGTAATAAAAATGGATCTGATGTACATAGGGATTATTTATGTAATAAATAATCATATATTTCCCCTTGTTTCTCGGCCAAGACTAAAAGTTGATTATGTATTACGTTAATAATAAATAGCTGGACGTTGATTGTCTGTTTCAGAGAAATTGTTAAACAGCGAAGGTCGAGAACTACGACGGGCACTCTTCTCTCTCAAGCAGATCTTTCAGGTGAGTTTTACTCTGGCTATTTTTAACCACGACTTGTTCTTTACTCGCCCCCACATCTTTTGTCTTTCTCTTTTACCATCTTATCTACTTAGTCCGTTGTCGTCTCAAGTTTTCCTTCTTCTTATTCGTTGAGTTGGTTTGCTCGAGTAAATATTTGTGCGACAGCAACAATACAACCATTTTCTTTTACATTTTACCGTCATCCGTCTGTTTCTTATTATAAATAATGCACCGAAAAAAAACTTTCAAGCGCAATTATTATCTATTTAATGTTTCGTTTACTTCCTCTGTCATTCTTGGATCTCAGTTAAAATCATGTCAACTATATTAAATTGCCCGACCTACCTGAAATTCAAAAGAACAATGTCAACTTCTTTTTTCTCCTTTTAATTTTAATGTCTAGAGTTTAAAGTATTGTTTCAATTTCGAATTTAATGGAGTTCAAAGTTCCTAAAAAAATTTCTAATGGTAGATAGAAAGAAAGGCGAAAGCTAACGAGTACGGATTTGGCGAGTCTGAATCAATAGATTTTAGAGCATTGAGGTAAAAGAACAGGGATTCTCCATCTTGAATGCTAGATGTAGGTTATCGAGATTTTGTGGAAAATCTCGTGGATATGAATTGAAAAAGGATATCGTGAATTGTATCAATAAAATGAAAATTCACTATGACGTTTTTCACTTCATGAAATGCAATAAAATAAAAGTTATTCAATCATTTAATCTCGACATCGAGTAAAGAAAAAAAAAATGAAAATAACTGTAATTAAATTTACATTCTTTTTAGTTAACAATAAAATAAAATTAAAATACAAATTTTTTTTTCTATCAGTCCAACATTTATATCATTTATTTTTTTCAACAGAGATCATGTAATTACCTATCAATCACTAAATTGCTTTTCTTTTTTTGCAGGAGGATAAAGATTTAGTGCATGAGTTCGTACAGAATGATGGACTGGCATGTCTCATCAAGGTCGGCAATGAAGCAGATCAAAATTATCAGAATTACATACTTCGAGGTAAGTTACATTTTACTTACATTCCTGTACCAGACCATCTCCATCCAATGCCTTATATTTATATTTAACGACAATTCTAATGTAATTTAGCTACTTTAAATCATTCAACATTACCAAGTAATCAATAACCCGATAATGCGCTTATTCAGTTCATCTTGGACTTGTCTATAATTTACTCAGACATCCCTTTCTATGTAATCTCATTTACAAGATGTAGATCAAACAGAAGTTTATTATCAGAGAATTTCCAACCTTTGTTATCTTCAAATCAATTGTCTGTTATCCTTATCTATTGTCTTATTGATGAATTCATTATTTAATTTAATTGGCTAGCTTTTCAATAAGCTTCAAGGAATTTTCATTTTAAATTTAAAATAACTGTTAGCCTCAATTTAGCAGAAAAGATGGACAATTAAATACAAATGGCTCATCAACTGATAGCTTTGGGTTTATTTAATTAAAAATTATAATAATTTATGTAATTACATTTTCTGTATTATTATGTATTACAATTGCCAGTAAATCAGAAAGGTATTTAATTCATTATAGGAAATTTAAAAGTGGGATGAGGAAGGATAAATCATTTATTAAATTAAATGAAACTATTGTTATTATAAAGTAACATTAATAATAAATATTTTCATTCCATTGTAACAACTTGAACTTGATGTATGTCTTTGAAAACCTTTTCTAAAACTTGCTCAGGTGCAGGTAATCCCTCAAAGTTGATTTGTTAAAAAGCTTAAAAATAAATGGCATCAGCATAAAGAAAAAAGTCAGAAGAAGGTGGGGAAAAAAATGCTACTGTATATTTCTATTTAATCGAGAAGAAGAAACGTGGTATCAACGTAGGTGCGTTTCTCGCCCCTCATAAATCTTTAGTGACGCGGGTCAAAAGTGGAGAAAGCGAGTAGAAAAGAGTAATATCTATACGCACAAGTAGAGAAAGAGATAGAGTAAAAAGAGGATGAGAGAAAGCGACGATAACAAATGGGTTGGAACTTGTATATGTTCCGTAGTTTAATTAAAGTTACTTGGTCCGGTAGCATGCTGCAATTTAGAAAGTAAAAAAATTGAGACCAACCCCTTTTCACTATGATATGACTCAACCTCTCACTCCAGGGGTGTGCATTGATTAAGTTGTAAAATAATTCGCACTCTCTTGAGGAACTTTTAGTAAGTACTCATGCTCATAATAATTATACTTTATATTTTTTATTCATCCTGGTACTAATTAATTGACCAAATAACAAACTCCATTTTAAATGAATATTTTTCAGTAAAATATCTTTTACATAATGAAACTTGTTGGTAAAAAAAAAAAATTTAAAAGAGTTTTTATCGACTTGTACTATTGAATAGGTTGAATTTTAAATGAAATAGAATTAAAAAAAGAGATGGCTAGAAGAAAAAAAATAGTTGAAATAATTTAGGTAGTTAGTTATTTCAAAGCAATTTAAAATTACAGAAAAAAGAAAAGGGTGGAATTTACGTAGTAAACACTTGTTAGTGGGATTCGCACGCAATGCACTGGCTTCATGTAGACAGTTGGAGCAAAAGCTCGTTGCTTGTGAATGTACACACAGTCCCTCCGGAACTTTACGAGGCACTCGAAAACGCCTCACAAACACGAGCTTTTTGCCGACGCGAGCTTTATCGTTTCGACGTAATTCCTCGCTAGCTCGTACGCCCACGGGGTCGACTCCGGTATCCTCGAATGTTCGCCCAGGGAACGTCATCAAAGTTAGGAACAATCGATTTGGTCGATGCACATAAAAGACCCAGTGAATTTAATTCGCGCTTACGTACTCTTCTTACTCTTCTTCTTTTTTCTCAATATTTCTTTTATGTTTCAACAAGTTATCCATTTATTAAGCTTTTCAGAAATAAACTTTTAATTTGATAAATAAAACAAAAATTGTATCACTTTTTGATAAACTTGCTTCATTAATGAATATTCAAAGTTGAAGGAAAATGACATTTGTAATTGATGTAAATGAAAAAGAATGGGTAAATAATTGGTGTGTAAAATGGGATTTGTTTTATTTTCTATAGCCCTAGGCCAAGTTATGCTCTACGTTGATGGAATGAATGGCGTAATAGAACATGGTCAGACAGTACAATGGTTATATACCCTGATAGCCAGTCGATTTCGGCTTGTAGTCAAGACTGCATTGAAGCTGCTTCTTGTCTTTGTTGAGTATGTTGAAACCAACAGTCTTCTGCTTGTACGGGCTGTTAGATCAGTCGATACCTCACGTGGCATGATTCCTTGGACAAATGTCATGAAACTTCTCAAGGACTACGATGCTGCCGATACAGAACTACTCATTTATGCGACAACACTCGTAAACAAGTGCCTCAATGGAATACCAGATCAGGATACTTATTACGATCAAGTTGATTGTCTTGAAGAGCAAGGTATTGAAGGTATTATACAGAGGTACATGTCTAAACAGGGTACAGATCTCGATCTTCTCAGACAGTTTCAAATTTATGAGGCTGTTTTGCATCATGAAGATGGAAATGATCGGGATTCACCAATCAGACAACTTGACGACAACATCAGGTACATTTGAACAAGTTTTTTTATTTCACTTTATCATCATAATAGTTTGGAAATTTATTCACTATAAAACAACAACTGAATTAATCTTACCAATAATAATAATGCCTTGTTTTTGGAATATCATTTTTAGGAAAACGTTACGTAGCAGAAAATCTTTAGTGGATTCTCATGAACGCCGCAAATCTCGTAGACATTCAACGGGTACTTCACCACTCTCAATGAGTCTAAATACTCGGTTAAGTCCTCGGTTAAATCACTCTCTCGGTCTTAATTCTCTGAATGGAACTTTTAACTCCAGTTTACCAGATGATGACGATGAATCTAGTAGTTCTCAAAGTTCACAAGGTCTTGGAGATGTTCAACTCAATGGGAGTTATAAAGAAAACAAAGATGATGTTGGAGTGACTCCAGCATTGCGACGCCGCAGGGAACGCGCTGAAAGACAGAGAAGCTTCATTCGAGAACAACAAGAAGCGACAGCCAATATAAGAGCCACTATTGGCAGTATAGAAGGACAAGAAGGTTTGAGAATTTTCTTTCATTTTCAATTTTCTTCCGAATCCTCCTCTTTATTATTAGATAAGTTTTCATGTAGTACACCTCCGTTTAAACTACAATAGACAGATAAATATTAACATTGAATTTCTTTTAAAGCTCCATATTCGTCAAACGGAGTACGATACTCAAATGGATCATCTTATGAACGTAATAACGATTCTCCTTGCAATAAAATATCAAGAGCAAATAGCCGTAAGGATCTTACACCTTTGATGAACGCCGCTAACAAGCTAGATTCCGAAGAAAAGAAACCTTGGTATGGGAAAAGTCCTGACGAAGGAATCGAGTGCAATGAGGTCAATCACACGGATGAGGACGAAGATCGAAGGGTTCTTGTACAAATGAAACGCGAAGGAACTGTTAAGGATTTAACACAGAAACTCACGTCGCAGAATCTCATACCTAGTAGTCCTGTTGAGGACAAAGTTTCAAGGTACACTCGCAAAAATGATTAAACTTGAGTTCTAAACTTAATTAATCAATTGAATAATTACAGGATTGGTGATATGAGTGGACTGATATCAAAAGCTAAAGAAGGTTTAGCTAAATCAAAGTCAAAGGCTGATATTTTAAAGTCACCAACGAATGATAATTTACCAAAGCTTACAGAGGTGAAGAAGTCTGAAAACGAGCTACATTGGGAAGAACTAGTAAACAAGATGAAACGACCTTTGACACTGTGTGACTTGGACTTTACTGATCTCAACTCAGACGACGAAGTGGATGTACTAGGACCTGTTAATGTTTCAAACGGTGTACCACCACCGCCACCACCAATGGCATTGTCACCATCAAACGGAATTGGTCGAGCACCACCACCACCCCCACCAGGTACTAAGTTTCCTCCGCCTTTACCAAATGGTCCGTCACCACACTTTGGAATACATCTCAAGTCTGCTCGATCTCCACCAACATCTGAGAGTACCAATACTGTCAAAAGTTTATCGCAAACAATCCCAAAGAAAAATAAAAAAACTGTCAAGCTTTTTTGGAAAGAAGTCAGAGATGATCCTATAATCCTTTCTCGTCTGGATAAAAATATGATGATTTGGGATGAGCTTCTACCTATTCCGATTGATACCCAGAAGCTTGAGCATCTCTTTGAAAGTCGTGCCAAGGATCTCATAACAAAGGTAAAAAGAATTATTCAAATTTTTGTCATCATCCTTTATCTTTTTGTCTACAATTGCAGCTTTAATAGATAGCTTTTTTTTTTATATACGTAGTAATTGTTAAATCTCTCAAAAATTGTTCAAATTAACAAGGTTTCCAATGACCTAATTGACAAACCAAATAATTGGTGTATGTTTATAAATTATTTTCATTTTCACACATTTATTTGATATTTTACATCGATTGAGTGCATTGAAATTGTACCTAATATACACTTTAATAAATTCATAATCAACAAAAAATCATTCCAATGCGCTCCATTGCTTTTACGGAATCTTCAACAGAGTCGAGTCAGCAAACAATTTTTTCCATTTACCATCCTTCTTCCATTTCTCGTTTTATATAATTATTCATTATCTGAAAAAAAAAAAATTCAATTTATTTTTTCAACAATATAATTCTTGATGGTACTCTTCGCTGAAATTCTTACCGATATCGTGTACTTTACAAGCTATTTTATATACACTTTGGAGAAAGTAGAGGTACCGTTAATTACTGTAGAGTTTTAATTGCATCAGGGAATAGTTGACATTGTAGTATTTACGTATATATCGTTTGATAAGAGAGCAATTATATGACTTTTACTTATTACTTTTTTTACAAAAATTTCTTTCAGTAAAAACATGGAAAATGAACGACCTCTGTTACAGTATATTAAATGTAATAATATAAATTAATCCTAAAAACGAGAAATTAATGTTTAATTGCTATTGTTGAATTTTACATAAATGAGAAATATTGAATTAATGTATTCACTCTATTGAATGTAACAATGTGATGTTTTGAATTGTAACTTTCTTCTGCATTTCATTTTTATTATTTGAAAAATTTTCAACTCATTATTATTTATTATGCAGCAATATAAGTTTATAGAATCACTTATTATTTAAAGATGATAAATGCCGACGATTTGTCACATAAAAAGTTTGCTGCAAGACTATGAAGATTTCTTAACAGTTCCATCAAGCATAATTCCAAACAACAACAAGGGAGCAAGTTGTCGAAAGTTCCCCTGACACTTCCTGATGGTTGAACAGAAATTATTTGTTGTTTTAAATAATTATCCATCAGATTAAGTACTATAATGACAATATCACTGGTAATCTATCGATTAAATATCATCACGTTGAGGATAAATTCTATTAGAGGCTATTAAGTGTTTAATTAAACTTCGTTAGAGTGGAAAAAATTTTTTAATTAATCCTTCCTTCAAACTTTAAGATTATTAATATTATTATAACCGGATCTTTTCTACTCGTGTAATAATTAGCATTGAAAAGAATCTTTTTTTATGATTAAAAACTGTAAGTAGTTGTTGGGAGTTGGTGATGGTTTAGTGTAATTAAAATAAAATCTAATATTTTTCTTATATTCTTTGCAATATTGTTGGTGCTCGCACAAAACAAAAATGGCATGCTGGTTGTCAACAGGAGGTGAGTCTTGATTTCATAATTTGGTTTGTTTTTAATTAGCTATCTGTAGATTGAAAGAAAATTCTTCTGACCAAAATAAAAAGTAATACAAACTTTTATTCATAATTTTCTTTATTTCATCAAAATATATATTTTTATAATTTCTCTTAGTGTATGAGATAAAAACTAAATTTTTATGCTTCGCTGTTATACTGTTTTTCGCACATTTCATCTGCGCAAAAAAGTCCAAGCTTAACTTATAATCTGATTCTTTCTTCATAAAAAATTAAAATATTATTAAATAAAAATTTATGATAATATTCAAGTGTAAGAGAACAATATTAAAACAAATATTTTATGCTGAACATATTTTTATTATTATCATGAGAAAGTAAGATGATTTTTACATAAAACATAAAGCTTTTAATAATAAAGCATTAAAAACAAGTACTTATTTTATTTGGATTCTTTTACTACAGAAACAACAAGAGATGAACAAAAATAAAGAGATAATTGTACTTGATCACAAAAGATCAAATGCAATTAATATTGGTATGACAAAACTTCCACCTCCAAGATCTATAAAAACAGCTATACTTAAGATGGATGCAACAATTATGAATCGTGAGGGTATTGAGGTATTTATTAGTCTATTTTTTTCCTTTCATAAGAATAGTTTAACTTGAAAATACTCGAAGTTATTAAATGATTTCATTCTGAATATTATTCTAATTACGTTAGAAACTTCTAACGATGTTACCAACGGAAGAGGAGAGATCGAGAATTCAAGAAGCGCAGGCCGCCAATCCAGATCTTCCTCTTGGTTCAGCCGAACAGTTTCTTCTTACTTTAGCTTCAATATCGGAGTTGCCAGCAAGATTGAAACTCTGGGCTTTCAAACTTGATTTTGAGAACTCAGAGAAGGTAAGCAGTCGAATGAGTGGTAGTAAAATCAGTTGAGAAATGTATATATGTAAAATATATAAAATTGAATAGACTAGTTTTGATAGTCAAGTGTATGAAGTTGGAAAAATAGATGAAATTGAAAATGAAAAAAAATAATCTTCAATAATTTTTGTATGGGCAGGAAATTGCAGACCCTCTAATGGATCTTAAGCAGGGTATGGAAACCTTAAGAGTGAATAAAACCTTTCGCGGTATTCTGAGCACACTTTTATCAGTTGGAATATTCCTCAACGGAAATGAGGTGAGCTATTGTATCCGAGTCAAATGATATCCATTCAATCTATAACGGTTCTTGAAGTCTATACTCTGCTAAAACTGTAGATCATCAGCTTTGGATCATCTTACCAACGTAACTCTATTTTTTGTTTTTTTTTTAAAGGTGAAAGGCTTTCAACTGGAATATCTCACTAAAGTACCTGAAGTTAAGGACACTGTGCACAAGCACTCTTTACTCCACCACCTTTGTCACATGGTGATGGAGAAGTTTCCTGATTCAACGGATCTCTACTCTGAAGTGAGTACTCCATCTTCAAAATTGTATCTAAGGTAAAAATTTATTTCTCATTTTTCACCTTCAAACAAGTCTATTCACAGAATAATTTAATTTTAAAAAATATTTATGATTAATTTAAAATACTTTGCTCTTTTTTTTTTAGATTGGAGCAGTAACTCGTGCTTCAAAAATTGATTTCGACGAATTAGCATCAAACATCAGTAAACTTGAGAGCGAATGCAAAGCTTCTTGGGATCATCTGAAGCTTATAGCAAAACATGATGGCTCAACTATGATGAAAGTAAAGTAAGTAAATGTACAGACAAACAAATTACATAGCAATTAAACATAAATTTAAAATAATTTATTTGATGTTTAACGACTTATTACTGTTAGTCACATATTAGAAAATAATCTTAAAAGTTTTTTTTTATATGTGCCAAAGAGCCTGTAAATTGTCAAGGATATGAATTGTCCCTTGTGTGAGCGGATTCGATAAATTTGTGAGCTTTTCCTCTCAAGCAACTTGGCAAAAACCCAAGTGACTAGCCATTAATTACTAAAAACTCTCTTAACTCCACTTTTTATCTTTATTTTTTTTCAAGTTTTTCTTCTCTTCATTCAAAAATTATCAGAATCTATTGTTATTTATTCATTTTCCATAGAACATTTGTAGCATTATTGATAAAAAATATTTCAATTATTTTAAATTTTTGTTTCAGAATGTCAGACTTTTTAGCTGATTGTGCTGAGCGAATTATTGTTCTCACCATTGTTCATCGTAGGATTATCAACAGATTTCATAAATTCATTCTTTGGCTTGGTATACCGTTACATCGTGTACAAGATACAAAACCGAATGAGTTCTGTAGAATTATATCGGAATTTTCACTGGAATACAGAACAACGCGTGAGCGTGTTATTCAACAACTAGAGAAAAAAGCAAATCATCGAGAAAGAAATAAAACAAGAGGAAAAATGATAACAGAGGTAAGTCAATTCGTCTGGATATTATATATAGTCTTCGTCTACATATCAAACCCTCATTCTTTAGTAACAACTTCTCTTCTTCTGTACACTCGACAGCTCATTTCACTCTACATTCAGAAAACTAAATATTTTTTTTTTCCTCTGACTTGTCTGTCTGTCTAGGTCGGTAAATTCCGGACGAAAGAGGATCGTGCAGATGCAGAACTAAGACAACTGTTGGGTAGTGATATTTCTGACGTTGAAAGTATACATGGTACATTGCCTTGGAGACGACAACGAAAAGATGGTGAATAATTTTTTTCGAGAAAATATTCTTTTTAAAGAAAATTATTCTAAAATTGTCTACATAGAGTTTAATAACATTTGAATCTACTTATTCACTTACTTATCATGAATAATTTCAGACAATTGTTTTTTTTTTTCAAGTTTTAATGAAAGAATATCTGATGAATAAATTGATATAATATTCCTATTGTAATTGAATTTTATTTTCAAGGGCGATCTATGTTAGGACCAATTATTAGAGATGAAACAACGAATGGGAATGTCACAGATGGAGAGGATGAATTACTTGAATCTCTTGTAAAAACAGCCACCAAGTGTCCATCGACACGGACTACTCCAAGAGAACGAAAACGAACAAGAAACGCCGATCGTAAGTCTTGTAAGTGCGATCTCTGCACCCTGCACGTATCTCTACCGCTGTTACTTAAATTTATCGAACATTTATCAACATGATTTTTAGCAAAAGAAGCAAATTGCGGTAGAAGATACAACCGTTGTTTAAATAATATCTACTGATTGCACAATATTTGCACCACCATATATTCTAAATATGTATATATAAATTTTAAAAGTAATATTATCTTTAAAAACTTTCCTTTTACAATGTCGTATTATAATGTAGAAATTGATTAAAGATAACTTAATCGTGTACGGTATTTGTCCAAGTACCAAAGTGAATGTGTGATTTGGAAATTTACGATTTACATATAGTTGGACGATGCGAATGGACTCGTTGAATCGTCGTTCGCTTGAAAATCGATAAGAGCAATTTAGGTACAACGATTTACACGATTTACGCCCTACCACGCGAGTACGTTGGTTCGTTCAGGCCATGAGATACACGAAGCAAGCACGAATCTAGATGTTTCGTTCAGCTAGATCGCTTACGAAAATTGATTTCCTCCAACTCTACATTGCCCTGACGAGTATGTCTTGAAGTTTGGTATTTCGACTTACCTGTATCAAGCTTTTTGACAAGTTAACTACAAACAAGATGATCCGGAAATAACTTTTGCTAAATAACTTCAACCTAAATAAAAATAAGTCATGATTGGTATTAACTTTTGAATCTATTGTATTCTATCACGTGAGAATATCAAATCACTAGTAATTGTTGAAAACTGTACCATTTAATATAATACTGAACTGAAAGCAGTCTAAGTTCCTTCAATAGATATAAAACTTGAACGATCGTGATAATGGTCAATTACGGTGTGGCTCATAAGCCGTAATTGAAAATTAAATTTTAATAGGCTATTCAGAATTGGGACTTTACTCACGTATTTCATAACATAAATCCATTTCTATAAGGTGCATACCTAAAACTATTTTAAAAGCAAATTTCCAGTTATATTCAAGAATATTAATAGCCTGTAATTAATTAGCACATAGGTATTATACCTAGAGTTTACTCAGTCCTGAAAGACTTATTGTATTTTGTTTTTTTTTTGTTGTTGAAAATATCATTATGAAATAAGGTTGGATATTATTAGACCAATTTTGATTATAAATGTAATTGTTTCGTGGTAAATTAATTCGGTGGAAAAATTTCTAAACTGTCAAAACCAGAAGCCCTATTAGTAAAATCGTTTTGGCCGTCGGTTGCGCGAGGCATTTCTCTCAACACAAAACTGATTGAACTTTGATTTAAACCAAAAATAAAGAAGAGTGTGGAAATATTGGGAAAATAATTTAAGAATGGAATTAATTGTAGGATAAAATAATTATATTAATAGCAACGGTTATGGTAAAAAGGGTGTGGTGATGGTTCTAATCTTTTATATTAATATTATATTTGTATATGTTAATCTTTAGTTTTGATATCTTATTATTTTTTCTTTTATATCAACCAGTAAAGAGATCTCGTACCCGCGAAAATAATACAACACCACAAGGGTACCGACCCTGAAGAAACACGCGATATATTCATACATACATCTTTTAATTTAAAAGGTTCGCTGGTTTATCATTATTTCTGTCTGCTGACTATTGTGTTTTTGTGTATTTTAATTTTTTTGCCTGAAGCATGCGATTATATCTCATCACTATATTTTTACAAACCTTACATTTTTTCATTTTCATTAAGATTTAAAATAAAATAAAGTAAAGATATTTGTTTCAAATACAAAAGATACTTTTCAAAAGTTTAAATTATTTTCATATTCAATTATATCTTTTAATTATAATAAATCATTTTCTGATAATAATATCACCAAAAAATAATAATAACACCGGGGATTTATGATGCTATTATTATATAATAAAATGTATTCTCTTACGCGACATCGATTTTGTCAACGCTTACACGCATTGTTACTGTACCAGTACCAATAATTTATATTGCCGCCATCACCCGCAACTAAAGATGTACAACGAATAACTTATCGATTACATTGTCTAGTTTCCTGCATTCTACTATTCTACTATGAATATATATTCCACATATAGTATGTACTACAATTGCATCGGTCATTGTCACCACGTCAATCCGATTAACATGTACGATTTGGGAGAATGGTCAAGCGTATTATTGAACTAGCTGGCTTCTCCACCGCTGTTATAAACTGCGGATGGGGTATTGTTGGCCTAATTTTATGTCAACATACAAAAAGAATAATATTAACCAGGAAAGCTGAACTATGTCATTTAGTTAATTAACTGCCTGTATGAGAAGATTTCGTTTCTCAAAGTTCCCTTTGTGGGGTTATGGGGAAAGTTTGGGGAACAAAAGTTTTTGTTTTTTTTTTGAAAATTTTTATATTTAATGAAATTAATGATGTATTGGCGAAAAATTGTAAGATATAAAAATGAGCATAACTTCTATGCTAATAATGCTATAGGGTTGGTTGAGGGCTCAAATGAAAGATTTCGACGAGAGGAAAAAATTGGATGTAGTGAAAATCATATTTGGCGGATAATTCATGCAAAAATTAATGCAAATTCCCATTTTACCCCATTTTAGGGGTGAAAAAATTGTTTTTTATATGTTTGACCTGATTCCGCATTTCTATGCATTGAGACGAAGAGAATGAGTCCTCGATCATCAAAATCGGACAACTTTGATTTTACGACCCCAAAAAATGGCAAGTGGTACCCCTTTCCATTTTTTTTGGCCAAAAAATAAAAGTATTCCGATTTTCAAGTTTGACCACTCATTCTCTTCGTCTTAATGCCTAGAAATGCGGAATCGGGGCACCGCCCAGAATGATTCACTTTAACACCCCCAAACAGGGGTAAAACTGGATACAAATTACTAATCATCATCCCCTTGACTTTAAACCCCTATAACTCGTGAATGGATGGTCCAATAACTGTTTTTAGGGGCGTTTTAGAAACTTAAGAATCTGAGCTATCTGACGATATCCATGGATTTATTAGAAAAAATTTTCTTCACCCTTAAAATCGATAAAATATAAAAAAAAATCACATTTTTTTGGGAGTTTGCCAACTATTTTGGCAATTTTAAGGGTGAAATAAATTTTTAACACATTTTTTATGGATATGTATCGTTAGCTAAGATTCTGAAGTTTCTAAATCCTCCTTAAAAATCATCATTGGATGACTTGTATAAGAGTTATTAAGATCTAAAGTCAAAGAGTCGATGATTTTTTACTCTTGCGTTGACTTTGGACCTCTACTACTTGCCATTTTTTGGGGTCGAAAAATCAAAGTTGTCCGATTTTGATGATCGAGGACTCATTCTCTTCGTCTCAATGCATAGAAATGCGGAATCAGGTCAAACATATAAAAAACAATTTTTTCACCCCTAAAATGGGGTAAAATGGGAATTTGCATTAATTTTTGCATGAATTATCCGCCAAATATGATTTTCCCTACATCCAATTTTTTTCTCTCGTCGAAATCTTTCATTTGAGCCCTCAACCAACCCTATAGCATTATTAGCATAGAAGTTATGCTCATTTTTATATCTTACAATTTTTCGCCAATACATCATTAATTTCATTAAATATAAAAACTTTCAAAAAAAAAAACAAAAACTTTTGTTCCCCAAACTTTCCCCATAACCCCACAAAGGGAACTTTGAGAAACGAATTTTTTTATACGAGCGTAGATTTGCTGTTTTTACTAAACAAACTTTTAAAATTTACAAATGCCATGTGACTGATTGTTTTATTTCATCTAATAAAAAATTGCATTTTTTTACGTGTGAATTTTTGAATTTAAAAATAAAAACAAAATATCTCATGACAGTTTGAACATTTTATTACGTAGTAACTTGGAATAATATTTTATTTGTGTAGATTTTCAAGTGTCTGCATGCTGTTATATTGGTGTTAGGCAAAAAATGCATGAAAATTTTAGTCGTTTATAAATGAATAAAAAGCTTTTAAAAAAATTTATTCACCAAAAAATAAAAATAAACCGCCTAAATTTATTTTTCACTCTATTTTTTTTTTATTTTTTAGTACGTAGAACATTGAAAAATGGACTATCAGAAGAGGAAAAGAAACACATTGCTGCATACATCAAGGGCTACTGACTTAAATTATTAAAAGCTGTGATATATTTTGCTATTGTATTTTCGATGACATTGACTAAGTTTGTCATCGCTGTATCAACAAAAGAAAAAGAAGAGAATATCTGTCACCATGAATTCTATCATTTCTGAAGAATTATTATTATTATTATTATAAATATTAATCTCACCATTATTATTATTATTATTATTACTATTATTATTTACAATTTTTTTGAATGTGTAGAAAATGTCTGTGAAAAATAGCGATATGATAATGTTTGAATTAATGTAAAATTCAATTTTAGTAATTGTAATTATTGATTAAAACTCAGTAATTTTGTTTTCTTTAATTTCAACTGATTATAATAATACTATTCATTTTTAAAGACATCATATTTTGTGAGGATAATTATTTCAAAAAATTACTCCATTTTTTTAAAATAAATTAATAAAAATAGTGTATTTTTTGTTTGCTTTAAATCGAAGTGACTGTGATGACTGATAAAAAAAATGTACAGGAGTATGAGTGGAATATTTTTGATTGAAGAGTTAAAATCATTATTAAAAATGGAAGATAAATTAACACTTCATGCAAATTGACATTGTAGAGAAATAAAAAAAAAAAAATTGTAAAAATCAATACAATAAATTGAAGTATGAAAAAGATAGTAGTAGGTTTTTCAATAAATTTAATTATCCTATCTACAATTATAAAAGAGTGTAATAAATTAAACAACAATTTTTTATTAACAAAATTACGCAAAACTGAAGATTTATTATTATTTCTATTATTATCATTATTATTCTTCACGTAGCTTTAACAACATACAATTTCATGTGATAAAAAATCATATTAGTTATAATAATAATCAGTGTCAAGTTAACATTCGATTCTCAAATTTACTTACATTCATCTCACAATCACAATTTTTCCTTAAATGTTATCATTATCATTACATTTATTATTAGATTTGAGTAAAAAAAAAAAAAAATTGTAAAATCAAAAAGAAGCATTCAATTATCAGACTGTTATCAGAATGAAGTAGAGTTTACTGGCGAATATTCTTATAAAAAAATCAATTATTCTTAAAACAATAATTCCATAACAACTGTAAAAATTTTATATTCGATATATATATAATAATTATTCACGATTGAAAGTTGATATCTTAAAAATTAATTCAACATTGTACATTTTTTGTGTTTTAAATTTCGAAAGTCTTTAAGAGTCACAAGAAAAAAATTAATTCCACAAATGATATTTTTTAAGTATCTATAAAAACACTAGCACAAGTGTAATTCCGTACTTTCTATAGTCCAAGGATTGTCATTAAATTGTTTCGTTTACAGCAGCAGAGAAGAAGTTGTCTGGGTTTTGTATATATGTAAATGTCGTAAAAATGTGTGCGTAAATGTTTGGCAGACTTCTCTTCCTTGAACTCTCATTAGAAAGTAACTTTCTCTTCCGGATACCATCTCAGCATACTACAACAAGTGATGAATACTTATGACCTCGTCGACATTACGGAAGTTGTCTAGACCTTTTACAGCTCGTCATGCTTTGGTCCAGTAAATTCTTCATGGGAAATGAAACCATTCTTATCTTTATCTTCGTGTTGGAAGATTTCTTCAACCAATTTATCGTTTTCCGAAAGCATCTTTTGAATGTCTTCATTGTTCTCACCACCTTTGTTCATTTGTTTCTTCAAATAGTCACTAACCTAAAGACATTTTTAAATTAAAAATTAATTATTTATCTAATGAATTATATTCATAATTTATTCCTACATCTGTTCATTTAAATAAAACAAAACTTAAGTCTAAATCCCAGCCATCACCAAAAAAAATAAACAAAAAATGATCTTGCCATTATGCTCACCTCCTCACGGGACAATTGATTATCTTGATCAGTGTCAATTTCCTTAAAGACATTAGCAGTACTCTTCGAGTCACTAATATTAATTAATTCAACTTCGAACAGAAGAGTTGCACCTGAAACAGAAGTGGTGATGTTTTAAAATGAAAAATAGTCAAGATGACAAGATCTATTTGTTGGATAAATTATAGAGTGCTATTGAAATAGTACTTTTATAAATATTCATGAAATATGGATTGTCATTTATATAAGTTTATAATATAACTAAACATTATTATTAATTTAACTGTCAGTCAAGGAATAATAGATTTGTATTCACCTATCCTGAATGTACTGAAACATACTCGATACGAGTGAGTGATCCAATGTGAGGGTTAACGAACCAGACAACACATTAATTATAGATGGTCCTAGTGCGATTAAATAGATGCTAATGAAATATGGTACTAAATTATTCGCTGTTTGAACGAGTAAAATTGATAATCATCTTACACACGTATGCGACATTTTCGAGCTTGACGCACGTTTCTACTATCGTTCGTAATTACAGAATATGTTTTATTAAGAACCCTCCAAAACCTTGATTTATTTAATTGTATTACATAAATAAATATTCCTGAATTTAATTAAAAAAATAAATTGTATCTATAATGAAATTAATTCTGATGTTTGTTTATTGAATTATCCATCTGTCTAATGTTAACTGAAGATCTATTTTGTTTTGTATTTTAAATGGGTATTAATATTAGCTGGATATTGTATTTATTTATTTGAAGATGATAATGTATTATTTACCTCCAGGGATCACGTTACCAGCTCCACGATCACCATATCCAAGTTCGGGTGGAATCGTTAGCTTTCTCCTCTCACCTACACACATATTCGTAAGTCCTTGTTCCCAACCCTTGATTACTTGGCCTGCACCCAATTGGAATGTAAATGGCTGTTCTCTGTCAAAACTGCAACACAATCAAGATTAAAAATTATTATTTAATTTCTTTATTCAATTTAAATATAATAAAACCATTAAAAATTAATTATCCTCCAAAAAAGTATCTTTTGAAAAAAAAATTTTCAATAAATAATAAACTTCAATAAGGCAATTACATCGACTTATAGAAGAATATATGAATGCATTGAGTCTTGTTATTGTTAAGCTTTCAATTAATTGAAGCCAGAAAAAATTTTTAAGTTCAATTCCAGTTTGAATCATTTGGTTTATTGTTTAAAAATCAACAATGGGTTTCAATATTTCATTTTTCTAACAAGTTAATAATATATAAGAGACGGATAAAAATAAAAAATAAAAAAAAAAGAACAATAAAAATCCATGGAGACCTAGTACTAGGTATTTGCATACTTGAACACTGCAGGTGGAACGGTAGCTGCATACCAGCACTGTAGTACAACACATAAATCTCTCGATGTTGAGCTTATATGTATGATCTACTCTATGATACCATGGCTATCTTCCAGTAGTCAAGGGAATCGAGAAAAAAAATTGCCGAGTAATATGAATAATAAATAGTCGTCTGAACAGATGAGAAATTTTCAACAACTATTTATATGAAATATATATATATAAAACAAACCTAAAGAATATTTACATGATAATAAAAATATTTCTGCGATTATATAGTATATCACTTTTTTATTACTTCAACTATTATCAAGTAAAATATTCGATTAAATAACTTACGTTTACTATCAGTTTTAGCATTTTAAAAGTTTAAATTTCATTTGGAGCAATAGCTATTTTGGTCTGATAATAATGAATAGCAAAAATTATGACTATTTTAACGATGTTTGCATTCTATTAAAGTATAATCACTGTGCATAAATGTGATGCTTAAAATTTAACAATGATAATCTCTGAATGTACAAATTTTTAATTAGCTAACTTTAATTTGTCTATTTACATAAAGTAAATATTTTCAACAAAAAAAGAAGATTTGTATTTAATGTATTTAAATTTAAAAATATTTTTTAGTAGTTTTTTTTCTTTTTTTTTTTTCAACGTTCAGATAGTTATTATTATTACTACTGCAAATAATGGATACCATGTACTCAAGAGACTATCCAAAACATTGTGTGCTTTTCATTCAAGTGTTCATTAGTTCAGTTCATTTACCTGCAAAACTCATATTTATGCTCATCTCAACTCCTAATAAGTCATTGAAATAGCCTGTACTTGAAAATTTCGTCATTATTTCCTTGTTATCGTGATAAATAAAACTAAAAAGCAGCTCTTAAAAAAGTCGTAACAGTCGTAAAATAATTTTTATAGAAAATACAGATAAAATGAAACTAAAAGTAATGGATGAAAAATAAGTTGTAAAAGTTTAAAAATATATGAGAAGCTAGCAATAATAATTCTTATAATGAAAAAGATTACAAAAATTGTCAGATAAGTTGGTCCGAATGGTTTAATCACCAGTTTTCCTTATCTTTCTTAAGGATAAAAGTTAGTCTTAAGGCGTTTCTCATTACCATCACTTTGTTCCAACACTTTTGCTACGTAAACGTAAACTGCAGTACAAAGAAAAGTAAGATAGAACACCAGAGTTGGTGCTTCCATGCTGTATATCCCGAGGGTATATCTTTGAATTTCTTTAAGCCTTTCTTCTTCCACCTCTGGAGATTCATTTTCTCTCTTGCTATCATCCCACATTTAACTCTTCAAAATTCATTCATCTAAATCTTGAATACAAGATGAATACAACATTTAGATGACTTTAATATATATGTTTAGACATAAACCAAACACACTATCCAGTTTAAGTTTCGAGTCTTGGAGACTTACTAATTAATTTATAGATACCCACTATTATCTATTCTTCTCGGCCTGAGTGTCTACCACTTCCTCACTTTATATTCTCTGCTTATCTAGCCTCTGCACTTGCTCAACTACACAACATACTCTCGTCCACTGTACTGCTCCATGTAAGCTTATAATTATTCTAATTAAAGGCTTTCAAGGTGTTATATTATCCTAAAATAACACCGTATTATCTCCAGCTTTTTTTCGATAATTACTCATTAACGTAGTACTAGTTTTTTTTTTTAATTGCTCTCACATTATTTATCATTTTTTTTAATACACTTTTAATTTACTTTTAAAAGAAGATTATTTCTTTCAGAGAATACTTTTAAATTTTTTTTTCTAAGTAGAAGTATGAATATTGAGGTGAACCAAGTTGAACAGCTTTTCTAGTGCTTTTAAATATTCTATTGGAAAATAAATTGCAAAATTTTTTAAGTCTGACCAAATATTGATATTTTCACTTAATAAAAAAAAAAATAATTTCTTTTATGTAAAAAAGAGTGTGAAAGTATAATTGGAAATTTGAGTTTTAAAAAAATTGATTAAAAAATGATTAACTCTGAGTACTTTGGAGAGAAATTTAAATATTCTTTTAATGTCTAAAGAAAATTCTAAATCGATTTTAAAAATATTTTAAAAACTTTAAAAAAAATTTTTTTCACGAAAAACTTTAACAAAAGTTGGACTTAAACTTAAGAATAATGAAAATTTCGTGCTATGACTTGGTCATTCTATCCTATAAATATAATGTATGTAAATCAGTAATTTGACTTTAAGATTTTCCATATCTCCAAAGCATATTATCCTAGCTATTGAGCTCAAAGTGTTTGAATTTGAAATAGTACAACACGATTTATAGATTATCTCATTTAAGAGCAATACTAAAAATGTCTAATATAAAGTAAAATAATAGAGATTAAAAGCGAAGAGAAATGAAGATCTAGAGGTGTGTTAATGGATTTCTGAAAAGTTTTCCGGCTACTCAACTTGAGTTCGAGGGGAATATCAAGTTCTAAGTTGCGAAATTAGCGAGTCTTTAAAACACGATGAAAAAGCCCGAAGCGTAAGTGAACTAAGTTTTAAACACTTCTTGGAGCAAAGAGAAGAAGATAATGTGTATTTTCTATATTCATTACTCATGCACGTCTTTAAGTCAAAGAGGTGAAAAGACGCGATACAAAATAGACAGAAAACAAGATGTAGGAAGAAAAAAGTCAAATGAAAAATGAATGAAAGAAGAAATATGATAGTATCATGAAAAATGGGTCAGAACAGTGTTGGCATCAAGAATTGGAAGTAGAAATGTACATGTAACAAAGAAAAAAAATCAGCAAAATAAAATGTATGAAGTATTTAAGTATTTTTTTCACCAAAGAATACATTTAATAAAACATTCAAATATTATTTCATATTTCATTGGAATCCATCTAAAGAATGTTTTCAAAAGCTTTTTATTACGAGCTTTTTTTCAAGTAAAAAATGTAAAATAAATAATTAAAGTGATTCAGTATTTGAGTAGTATAATAGGAGTTAAAGTTAAAATAAAATGAACAAGAATGTAAAATATAAAAGCTGCAGAAAGTGGAAATGTAAATTCAATAGAACTATTCAAAACTTTATTGTACAAATGACAATTCTACAACACTTTCTTTGGAAAGAAATATTAAATCAAGATGTTTCCTGCTATCTTTAACTGCTTGAATCTATTGACCATATTCTTCCAGCCACGTTTGCATAAAATTTATGGTTCATTGTGAAATACCTCTGAAATATCTTGTTGGATATTGATTTCTCAGCAACTATCTCCTTGCATGCCATGCATCAAATATTAAATTAACTGCTATTTAAAGAGATTAAAATCATATGATTTATAATATATATATATTCATTTGTCATCATCTTTTTATTTTAAATATGAATTGCATCTTGATAAGAATTGAATTTCAAGTACTTGAGGTACCTAAATTACGTCAAGAAACGAAATATTCTATTTATAGTTTAATACTTTTCTCTTCGATATTGAATTTTTTTAAAAATTGAGTATCATGATTTTTGTTTTCTATTTCTTTAGCTCTTTGTCTCTAAATCAAATGATGTACAGTCTTGTAGAGCAGAAGCTCTTTTCACCAATAACTCCCTTTGATAGTAATAAAATCTGTTTTATAACAAATCTTTTTAAAAGTTTGGTCCAAAATGAAAAAGAGTTAAAAGTAAATGAATAAGTTACAAGCATTGAGATTTCAAACATTTTTCTTTATTAGACCAGCATCAAATATTCTTAGCATTTTATTTCAATTAAATATAACGGAACATTCATCATTCTGTTTGAGTTTTGTTCGAAATTAAAATTACTTGTAACTCTAGAGTATAATGATAGAAAAGTTCATGTATTCAATAAAAATTTTCTCAAGAGTTTTGAATCTTTATTACTTTTTTTCTTCTCTCCATGGCTTTATAAGATTTTATTTTTAACAAAGTTTAAAAATTACTGAATTTAACAAAAGATAATACGACATGAAAAGCTTTAAAAAAAGCTATAAATTTTTATTATTAATATCGTGAAAAAAAATTTAAGAAATATCTATCATACTTTCTTTTTTTCAGAATTAATTTTGAAGATAAGAGTTCAATATATTTATCCAAGTAAGCAATATCTCGATAAGAAGAAGTCATTTTTAACTTTATAAATATTATGAAAGTTTATCTCTCGTGTACTTTCCTCAATAGAGTGGTCTTAAACTACTCAACCCAAAGATGCAAGTACTGCATGACATGTATGTATATATGCTTGTTGTCCCTAGATACCTCTCTTCCACTTTATAAATCCTTCTCCTAACGTCAGAAGTACTGCCTCAAGGGATCAAATATTTCGAAAGATCACCAACCTAAGGATCTCACACCACTAAACTTGCTAAATACATATGTATAAGTGTATACATATGCATTTACACTCGGAATTCACCCTACAACGTATGTTGTATCATTAAAGTTTAATATTATATCATATAAATATTTTATCAAATTGTTTAATAATAAAATACTTGCTAAAAAAGCCTCTAGATAGCTCGAAAGATTTATTTCTTCGAGTATCATACATTTTTCACAACAACAAAAAAAAATGGTGATAAAGTTTTA